GCCATGTATTTGGCAATGCATGGGTGAACTTCCTATTTTGTTAAATATAGACTCTGTTGCCTCCAATTAGATCACGAAGTTGCTAGTGTCTGGGAGCCGGTGTTTTATTTTCTTATTTAAAAGCCACACTGCTCCAAAATTGTTTGAATGAAGGAACCAGGTTTGGATGTGAATGATCAAGGCAGACTCAAGTTCCAAATGGTGAAGGCCCCCCTCCCCCTAGGTTGTAAGTGCCTTTTCTTATGGTTTTTTTTTTTTTTTTTTTTGGTGCCCACCAAAATCCCTAGCAGGTGCTAACACAAAAATTAGGGAGGAAGGCAGAAATGGAAGGAAGGAAGGGAAAGAAGTAAGTGATAGATGTGATAAAACTGGTTTGTATCCACATTAGACAGGTAGGAAGGTGCATGAGAACGCAGGCCTAATAGTCGGTAAAATCACAAGCAGCCGAGTCAGTAGGAAGGCAGGTAAATCAGTTGATACATAAAAATAGGAATGTTTAGGTAAACAGATTGGTGAGCATGGGTAAGTGGGTAACAGATACCAGTCGGTGGATTGATAAATAGGTGTTGGTAGGTGGTTATGTAGACCAGGTAAGTTTGAGGGCAGACAGGTAGGTGGCTGGGCAGGTGGCTACGGAGATAAATAGAGACTGAGTAACCTCATGGGTGGTCTGCTGAAGACAACGACAGAGAACAGAAACGGGCTCTGGTCGGAGCAGGTGCCAGGCTGGGAGCCAAATGGAGTATGGAACAGGCTATTTGTCAGCCTGGGAAAACCCATGGGGAAGTGCCAACTTCCGGCTGTGGGCACTTTTCCTTCTGCGACTCCGGGGGCGGGATGGGGTGAGGGTGAAGGTGACGTGAGTCTGGCTGGCGGGGAAGGCCATCCAAGGTGAACCGAGCACAGGTGTTCTTGCCAACACGTCTCCTTCCAAGAGGCAGTCGGCTCCCCCCAGATCAGAGCAGAAACGGGTCTTGGGGAGAAAAAGAGGAGGGTGCGAGGGCACAGCGCCTCTCCTGTCTGGGGTCGGAGGAGGTCCGGGCTCTGGTGGCTCTTGTGCTCAGAGTCAGATGGGAAAGGAAGCCGGAGGAATAGTTTGACCGCCTGGGGTGGGTCCCTTCCTTTCCAATAAATCAGGCAACATCCTAGAGGGAGACTTTGTTCTAATGGTTCTAGAAACAGTATCCCTGTGGGCAAAAATAACACATTGTGAAAACATCAAGGGACCAAAGACCAAATGAGAGCCAAGGAAAACCAACAATAAGATCTAAATCTCCTGGCCGGGAGTGCACATGCCCTGCGTCGGATGAGGTCACTGAACCCTCAGAGCACCCTCTGAGATAACAGTACCTGGGTACTATTATCGCCTCCATTTTACAGAGGCGGAAAACTGAGGCCCAGAGAGGTTCCAGAGAGTGCTCACAGTCACAGCCCTGGGAGCGAGGGGGCCATGACCCGCCCTTAGGTAGTCTGAGGGCAGAAACCGTGTGCCTGCCAGCCCAAGGGCAGGGGCACGCTGATGCGCTCCTCACATGCACTCAGTGCCCAAGCACTGAGTCACTCATGGAACAGGCGTGTAGATATTCGATGCAGCCCCCGGTGGGACCGTAGACACAATTGTTTTCTTTTCACCTCACTCCCCCCCCGGTTTATTCATCCTTGTCCAGTTCTCTCTGCCGGGTACCCCTCTAGGCCTAGCTATACAACGCCACGCGCTGCCTCAGATAGTTTCTAGCTATGGTCTCATTGAACCCTCGCTCTAGAAAGCCCCTGGGGGCTTTATATCATCATTCCCATTTTCAAGATGAAGAGACAGAGGGTCAGAGTGATCCAGTCATGCGGCTGAGGTCACACGATTTGTAAGAATCAGAGCATTTACTCAGACCCAGAGCTCTCCAGGGTCCAGCCTGGTCTTTCTCCATCACTGCCATCTTCACTGTCTCTTCTCTGCCCCCAGACTGCCTGCCACATGTTGTCACCCACTGTTGCCAAAGAATGGCCCGAGCATTTGCTCTGATTCTCCAAGGAAGCTGTTGGGTGCTGAGTTGTGTCAGAACAAGGACCTTGACTCTCAGACCTCCCCCTTGAGCTTGTCTGGGGTTGGATGCACCTGTGCTGCCTCGTGTAGTATGGGGTCGAACCCCCAGGGTCACAGCCCCGGGGACAGGCTTTCTGCACAATTGCACGAGGGCACTATGGGAACTGAAGGCGACTTCTGAATCATTGGCCTAGTTTCAGTTTGAAGATGGTCAACCTGTTTTGGGTAGATTTACGGTACCCCTTGGGTTGTCTAGAAGAGGCAGCCAAGCAGAAAGTGCAGCGGCAGGTCCAGCCCTGTGAGATCCGATAGCCCCCTCCCTAGGCCGTGACCTGAGGCAAATCTCGTAATCTCTCTGTGCCTTGGTTTACCATTCTGTAAAGTGAGAATAATGGTAATACCTGAGCCATCCACCCACACCCACTCATCCACCCATACCCACTCATCCACCCGCCCACTCATTCATCCATCCATCCATCCATCCGTCCAACCATCCAACATTCAACAAATCTACATTACATGCCCACCCAGTGGCAGGCGCTGTGCTAGGCATCTGGGAGGCAATATGATCAAAATATAGATCCCTACCCACATGGAGCTTATTTTCTAGTGGGAGAGTCAGACAATGAACACAGTCATACAATAGTTAAATATATAGAAGGGGGAAATGTCAGTCTAGGGAGGGGGCTCAGAGTGTGGACAGGACCTGCAGTTCTGAAGAGGATGCTGCAGGTAGGCCTTGTTGAGAAGGTAAGATCTAAGCAAAGAGCTGAGAGGGGAGGCCTAGAGGATATCTGGAGAAGGACGCTCCTAGTAGGAACAGCACGTGCCAGGGCCTGTGGTCGAGAATATGCTAGGCCCGTCCCGGGGACAGCGGGGACTCCAGTATGGCTGGGGGAGATGAACAGCAGTAGGGGATGAGGGCAGAGCAGCGAGAGCCGGATTGTGATGAGCCTTGTGGGCCACTGTCCGGATTTCGCTTTCCCTCCGAGCGATGGGGAGCCAGGGCAGAGTTTAGAGCAGTGGACAGTGCAGATCGGTAAGGGTTGAGGAGAGAGTTACAAAACCTTCACATGATGATTTCCTCTTCTGAACCCTTGTTGAAACCAAAGGCAGGGCCCTTTCTTTACAAAGCACGCAATTCTCCTTCCCCTTCCCTCTCTCCCCCTCCGAAGGTGCTCCGGCCCGGCTTGTCCCACAGCCGCACCCTTGGCAGCCCTGATGGGAGCTGGCCTGGATGACAGGAGGAAAGGGCAGGGAAAGGAGGCACCTTGCCTTTCTCTGTCTCCCAGGCCCCTGAAGACCACATCATTCTGAGCCCAGTTCCCTTTCTCTAGTCACATGGGGGTCAGAAATAAAAATATTACGTCCCCAGGGAGGAAGCAGAGTGAAATAACAGGAACCGGCAGAGGAGGGAGGGCCAGAGGTGTCAGGCAGCCCCCACATAAAGGAGCTAGGAGCATGCAGTTTGCAAGGAGGGAGGATGGTGCTGATGCCCCTGCACCCATCCCGGGGTGGCTGTTGCACCCCCATCAAGACCACACCCCTGGGGACAGGAGCCGCTTGCACCCCCAAGAAGAAATCAGGAAGCCCATTTAGGTAGGAGAGGGACAGAGTAAGAGATATGTCCAGGAAACCAACAGGGACCATCCGGGCGAGACTGTAACCACGAGGAAAACCAACTTCTTATACATTTGCAACTTGACAGAGCGGGGGCGTGGGGGAGACAACACGCATGCACCACCCTGGCACCTGAATCAACACCCTCAGAAGAAGGCGTTCTCCCTCCTCCAAGCCAGGTTGAGGATAAAGCTTGCCTGCCTCCACATAAATCCAGCCTCCACCACTTGGCACCTGGGGACCTGGGGTGCTGTCTCCTCTGGGTGCTCTCTGTGTTCTTCGTTAGGTCAGAACTAAGAGTGCCGCGCAGTCCCTGGGCTATGCCAGGCGCGTGATAAACACTCAACGAGCGCGAATCGTTGTGACCCTCTCCCACTCGAAGTGGCTCTGAAACCAGAAAGGACCCACGAATGACTGGACTCTACGGCGCCGAGTCACAAAGCTGGAAAAGTGCAGACCTGGGGAGAGCAGGTGCAGAACAGAGATGCTCGTGCGGAGCCGAGAGCCTCTTGGCCGCAGGGAAGGGACACCTCACCTATTTGCGGGGTGGGGGGAGGCGACACGTTGTAGGCTTGTTTTTCCGATTCAAGAGGCGTCGAGTGTCGTCAAGACTCTAAAAGCGTCAAGACTCTTCCCCTCTTTTCTCCCATCTGGTTCTTGTTCTGTGTCTCCGTCTCCCTCGTTCTTTCTCCCCCTCTTCCCTCCACCTTCTCCCCTTTCCTCCTTCCCTCTGGCCTCTCCCTTTCTTTTATTTATCTCCCTTCTTCTATTCCGTCTCTCCCTTCCTTCCTCTCTCGCCCTGCCTGTCTTTGGATTTCTGTCTCTCGCTGACGCAGATGCACACACGCACATGCACACCCGCACACACAAACGCGCGCACACATGCACGCACGGCATCCTCTGCTCTCTGGCTTCATGGCCCATCCTCTGGAACCTCGTTTCTCTGCATTGGAGCCTCCCCAAGTGTCTGCAGCCGCCTTCCCCACTGGACCGTGAGCCCCTTGCGTCCAGCCCCGGTGCCCAGTGCAGGGCCTGACACATCAAGGCTGCGCAGGGTACAAATCAGGCAGGTGTTTGGTCGCATTCCTCCAGGATGGTCTTTTCTTAAGCAGAGTGGGAAGCGTGCTGGCTGGACCTCCAGCACACCCGGCATCACAGACGGAGTTCTCCAAGTACTTGCTGCTCCTGCCAACTCATCCAGAGGCCCTGACTCCTGTCCAGCTCCGCCTTCCCATCTGGGGACGAGGATGATCACACTGGCTTTCCTTTCAGAGGGAAGGGAAAATCTGTGCGCTGCCTACAGCCAGCCTTTGCTACTCGGGCCAAGGGGATGCCGACTTACCAGCATGGTCCTTGGAGGAGTTGGGGTCCCCCTCCGCCACTGGGGTCTGCCACCCACTCCACGCCCACCTCAAGAGGGCCAAGTCTGGGTCTCCTTTCTCCAGCAGGGTCAAGGAGATCTTTCTGGCCAGGGCCTCGCCATCAGGCTCGCGGAGCAGGGCGCAGTGGTACTCCCGGGAGAGAAGCTCCTTCTCTAGCATGTTGTCCAAGAGGGCTTGCACTTGACTCGGCTGATGGCTGGACAGCAGCATCCGGACCCGAGCCAGGATGGTCTGAAAGTGGTTCATGGCTGGGCTCAGGGGCAGACCAGCTGCCTGGGCCAAAGCCTAGGATCTCTGCTCACCCAGCCTGCAGCATCCAAAACACGAAGTGAAAAACAGGATGAGGGAAACTCTACAGTTTGGTGCTGTTTATTCCTGCTTAGGCAGGTTTCCTCATTTGCGTCGCAGGCTGGGGTGCCTGATGTGTGGTTGGAAATGGGTGCTGGGGCTGATCCGGACCCCACAGATGCTTGCTGGGACCGCCTACGTGCATGTCAGAGAAGCCTGCAGCCTGTGGGCTTCATCTGATCCAATCCAGTATTTGCTAAACGGGAAGCAGACTTGCCTCTGTGGGAACTCGCACAGTGATGGTCCTTTTTAGATGTTTTATCATAACAAGAAGGCAGTTGGGGTGTAGGGGTTAAACAATTGGCTTTGGGGTGAATCTGCCGGGGTTCACAGCACAGAACTCCTTGCTCGGCCTCTTTCAAGCCCCCATTCCTCCACCTGAAAAGGCTGGATGATGATAATCATACTTACCTCACTGGGTCAGACGGGGCGATAATAACAGCCCTGACCTCCCAGAGTTTTTGAGAGAATTAATGAGATAAGGTGTGCAGAGCACCCAGACATTATCTGCATGATACTGTTCAATAAATATCAGCCATTATTCTCATTATTGTTATTAATTAATCACGCATACGACCGTCATCTTGGGCTTAACCTCACTAACCCTCAATCCCCTCCTTAGCCAAAATCTCCTAATAAAAGTAATCCAGCCTCATTAAGTTGTCTTGAGGATTAAAAAAGATAATGCATTGGAAGGGCTTGGTGCTGGATCTAGTGACCACTTAATGAAAACTGACTACATACGAATATCATCCCCGATCTACAAATGCACAGAACAGAGGCTTTGCGTAGGAGCCAGTCTATTTTAGGATTCTATTCTAAAAATTCCCAACCCAGGGGTGTCTGGGTGATGCAGTCGGTTGAGCATCTAATTCTTGGTTTCCGCTCAAGTCACGAACCCAGGGTGGTGAGATCCGGTCCTGCACTGGGCTCCGGGGCTCTGCGCTCGTCATGGAGTCTGCCTGAGATTCTCTCTTTCTCTCCCCCACCCACTCATGCCCTCTCTGTCTCTCAAATAAATAAATAAATCTTTAAAAAAAAATTCCCAACCTATTTTTTTTTCTCATAGTTGATCGCTCTCCCTTATCATTTTGAAACATACCTGTGACTTCGTTTCCTAGCCTGGCCTCAGCTTTACCATCTCTCAGATGGGACCATTTGCATTGTTCACTTAAGTGAGACAAATAAAGATTTCGACTTCCAGGATGGCTGAGTAGCTCCTACCTGACTGACTCTACCACAGATAAAAACTAACAACTCTGGGGGGGGGAAAAAAAAGACAAAAACAACTACCTAAGGGCACTGAAGAATGACTGGAACTGGCTGATATTAGAAGGAAGTCAACACATGAAAGATAAGAATACCTTTGGTGAGTGAGTTCTCAGCTCATGGGATTAGCCTGGAGGCAAGTCTCCATCACCACTGTGCAGGACAATTAAAACTCAGAAAATGCAAAGTTTTACTGCCCTGAATAACCAGAGGACAGAATTTGGGGGTAAAAATAGATGCTGGAAAGTGGGAGTAGAAACCCCAATAAGGAGGCGCTTGGGTGGGTCAGTGGGTTAAGCATCTGAGCCTTCAGCTCAGGTCACAATCTCTGGGTTCTGGGATCAACCCAGCATTGTCCAGCTCCCTGCTCAGTGGGGAGTCTGTTTCTCCCTCTCCTTCTGTCTCCCCCCCCCCCGCTCAAGCTCTCTCTCTCTCTGTCTCAAATAAATAAATAAAACCTTTTAAAAATTTTTTTCAGAAAGGGGAGAGAGGAGTTGCTCCAAAGTCTGTGTATAAACTGCCCAAATATCTAGTTGACTTCTGAAGCATGTATACATTCACAATTAGACTCCAAACAGCCCAGCTGAGGTTAAAGGAACTGAACTGAGATTTGAATTGCAACCTACTATAAAGGTCAGAGGGGGAGTAGGAGACTGCATTTGATTCCAGACAAGTTAGGAGCCCACTAAATCAACAACAACAAATTTTTTTTAATTTTTATTTACTTATGATAGTCACACAGAGAGAGAGAGAGAGGCAGAGACACAGGCAGAGGGAGAAGCAGGCTCCATGCACCAGGAGCCCGACGTGGGATTCGATCCCGGGTCTCCAGGATCGCGCCCTGGGCCAAAGGCAGGCACCAAACCGCTGCGCCACCCAGGGATCCCAACAACAACAAATTAACACTGTCCAGGTTATAATAATCCAGAGTCTTGGGGCACCTGGGTGGCTCAGTCAGTTGAATATCTGCCTTCAGCTCAGGTCATGATCCCAGGGTCCTGGGATCAAGTCCCACATCGGGCTCCTTGCTTAGTGGGGAGCCTGCTTCTCCCTCTCACCCTCCCTGCTGCTCATGAGACTCTCCCACTCACTCTCAAATAAATAAAGTCTTAAAAAAAAAAAACAGGGTGTTTCCAACAAATGATGTGCAGCATACACCCAACATTACTTGCCTGTAAAGAAACAGGAAAAAGGGACTCATTCTCAAGAGAAAAAGACAATCAAGGAAACTGACTTCTAGATGACCCGGATATTGAAATTGGCAGACAAGGATTCTTAAAGCAGTGACTATAACCCTGAATGAAAAAGACATTAAAGGGGGAACCTGGCCGGCTCAGTTGGTGGAACATGTGACTCTTGATCTTGGGGTTGTGAGTTCAAGACCCATGCTGGGTGTAGAGATTACTTAAAAAAATAAAACCTTATTTAAAAAAAACATTTGAAAGAAAGAAATAAAAAAAGAAAGAAGATGTAGAAGAAAGTATACTCATAAAAGTGAAAAGATGGGAAATATCAGCAGAAAAATAGAAACTATTCAAAAGTTATCCAATGAGGGGCACCTGGGTGGCTCAGCAGTTGAGCGTCTGCCTTTGGCTCAGGTCATGGTCCCATCGCCCCGGAATCGAGTCCTGCATCGGGCTCCTTGCAAGGAGCCTGCTTCTCCCTCTGCCCGTGTCTCTGCCTCTCTCTGTGTGTCTCTCAAGAATAAATAAATAAAACCTTTTTAAAACAAGCTATCCAGTAGAAATTATCAAAATGGAAAGTACAATATATGAAATTTTAAGTCACTGGATGGGATTAACAGCGAAATGGGGAATGACAGAAGAAACAAATTTGCAGATGGAACGATAGAAAGTATTCGTTCTGATAAACAGAAAAGTTTGGGGGATAAAATGAGCTTCGAGGATCTGTGGGAAACTATTAAAAGCTCCACATATTTCATATGAAAAGCTTCTACGTATTTGAGATCACAGAAGGGGAAGAAAGAGTATGGGGCAGGAAAAAGATTTAAAGAACTAAAGCCTTAAACTTCTCAAAATTGGCAAAAGGAAAACAAATCTGTGAAGCTCAGTAAACTTCCAGAACAGTAAATACGATGAAACCACACCTAGCTTTATCACGGCCAAATTGCTGAAAGCCAAAGGTAGGGAAAAACTCATAAAAGCAGCCAGACCAGAACATGTTACACACCAGAGAGTGTTCAAATAGTCACTGACTTCTCATTAGAAACCATGGAGGCCAGAGAGCTGAAATTGTCAACACAGATGATTTATTATTATTATTATTATTATTATTATTATTATTATTTATTGTTCTTTATTTTTTTAAAATTTTTTTAAAGATTTTATTTATTTATTCATGAGAGAGAAAGAGAGAGAGAAGCAAGCTCCACACAGGGAGCCTGATGTGGGATTTGATCCTGGGACCCAGGATCACGCCCTGGGCCAAAGGCAGGCGCTAAACCGCTGAGCCACTCAGGGATCCCCCTAAAATTTTTTAAATTTATTTATGATAGTCACACACACAGAGAGAGAGAGAGAGAGAGAGGCAGAGACACAGGCAGAGGGAGAAGCAGGCTCCATGCACCAGGAGCCCGACGTGGGATTCGATCCCGGGTCCCCAGGATGGCGCCCTGGGCCAAAGGCAGGTGCTAAATCACTGTGCCACCCAGGGATCCCCTATTTATTGTTCTTTAGAGAGAGAACAAGTAAGGGGAGGGGCAGAGGGAGAGGGAGAGAATCTTAAGCAGCCTCCATGCCCAAAGTGGATGGAACCCAATGTGAGGTTTGATCTCCCAACCCCGGGATCATAACCTGAGCTGAAACCAAGAGTTAGCTGCGTTACCAACAGACACCAAGGCACCCCATCCACACAGACATCTAAACCCAGTGAAAAGACCTCTCAAGAATTCAGGAAATACGGATATTTTCAGATAAAGGAAAAAACTAAAAGAACGAGTTGCAACAGACCTGTATGCCAAGAAACGTGAAAGTGTGTTCTTTGGGAGTTGAATGAGGCCAGCTAGCAATTCAGATCTACGGGGAGGATTAAAGAACATTAAAAATAGGATCTCTGACCAATATCAAAAGATTGATTTTTTTCCTCTTCATTTATTTAAATATAACTGGTTAAAGCAAAAATTGTAATATTGTCTATGACTTTTAAATATAGATAGAAGTAACACATATGATGTTTATAACATAAAGGATGTTATAATAAGAGGGTGGTTATTAAATCTTTATGTAGTTGCAAGGTTTCTAGATATCAAAGTGATTGATTCTAGATATCAAATATTACCTCTATGGGACGCTTGGATGACTCAGCTCTGCTTTTGTCTCAGGGCGTGACCCTGGAGTTCAAGGATCGTGTCCCACATCGGGCTCCCCACAGGGAGCCTGCTTCTCCCTCTGCCTGTGTCTCTGCCTCTCTCTGTGTGTCTCTAATGAATAAATAAATAAAAATCTTAAAAAAAGGAATATTACCTCTATGTAGATTGGGAGAAATAGAAGATGTATATTATATTTCCTTGGCGATCACCAAAATATAATGCAAAAAGGTAGAGCTAAAGAGCAACTTGAAATTAATATAGAATTTTGAATGAGGTGGACTCTCAACTCTTGGTTTGAGTAAGCAGTCCAAGAAGATCCTGACATTATAAACGTCATATGTAACGGCAGAGATGTCAATGTAAATATTATTCCCAGGGCAACATATTACCAATCAAGATAACAAAAATTGCATACTTTTAGGCACTAAAAATCGCTTCTTGGCCTTTTGACTGAGATCAAGTGTAGTATCTATTCTTATCACTTTTAGGCACTAATGGTCATGGTTCACAGGGCAGATCAATAATTTCTGCAGGTTGAGTATCTTAAAAGGCTCCTTTGTACAAACAGCACTTTCGAGAATAGTTTTATAATCACAAAACAAACTTCACGTGTTC